TACAAACTAACAGGATAGGCCAATTCCAAGAAGAATTAAAGAATATTTAAATTCAATATATGAAGTATTTAAATTAAAAAAACAATGTTTCTTTTTGACGTCGCTGCTGCAGCGACAATGGAGTAGTAACTTATCTTGCAATGTCGCCTCTGCGGCGACAGCGGAGTGCAAAGGGTTAATATATTGCACATCCGTAAGGCAGATGAAAGTAATTTATCAATTATGTGTTTGAGAAGTGGTAAACATTCGATATATAATTCGTGGTATCGTTATCATCGATTCAGTATCAGTCTGAACAACGACGGATCGACAAGAGATCTCCTTAATGCGTGATTTGTCGAGCAAACGGGTGGAAAAATAGAATCGACCTTACGAAATACGGTGTGATAGATACGGGAATTCTAATCGGAGCGGATTCACGCCATGGTGAAAAAAAGAAAAAAGAAATTATCTGGACGTGTGTGCGTGTGGTGGCGCGAGATGACACGTGGCCTTGACACAAAACTCCCTCGGCCATACGTGCGTTGTGTGCTCCTCGTTATTGGACGACCTACGCTCCGAACTGCGACCGAGCTTTCCTAACTCCGTTTAACACGGTCAAGTTTAATGGAATTCCGTGTCCCGGCGTCGATGATACCAATCAAGTTACACGAATCGGATGTCGTGCGTCACGCGAACCGAAATTTCTCGGTGAACATCGCGAACCTGAGGGAAGTTCGCTTACCTCCCCCCACTGACAGATGGCACGAGGATAATTACGCTCCGACATGTAGACTCGCGAGTATCGTCGAGTCGCTGGAATTCTTATCAAAATCTTGGTATCTTTCTCTGGCTCGTTATTTCTTTACTTTCCTTCTCGTAGGTTATGTACGTTCATAGACTCGTGAACGCAGCAGTTTGAAAAAGAGGAGAAAATATGGATCAAAGGAAGGTGCACGAAGAGCAGCGTGCACCTTCCTGCATTCAATTTGAAATGTATTGAATTGCGCGGGATATAGGATCCTTCGTTTATGCACAATACGCTCTTTTCGCCGTCTTCAAACGAGGGTGATCCTCGTTGTGACGAAATTACCCTAACTTGCTGGTCTCATCTTTCAATCGAACATCTCGTCTTTCCCAAATGATCGTATATCGATTTTTATAAATTCCTTACGGAGAGAAGAATATATATTTTTCATTTCATCGAAAAGAGAAGTATATATATATATAATCTTGATAGAAAATATTTCGACTTCATATATCCCGGGGCAGAATACAGCACGCTCCTATATTTTCTTATATTGTGCATCGTGAACTTAGAGAGAATCCGCCACATCAGTATCCCGAAGCGTGGATTAGTCACGTGAATTATGTCGAGGCATATAATTTCTCAAAAAATAAAAACGAAGACGTAAATATTTCACAGCTGCAAGGTGAGTTATTTACGCTGCTCAGTCGTAGAGAAATCATCGAACGCGTAATATTCATGTGAAGCACAGTCGATTGAATGCGTAATTAACGTTTGGGGACTCGTGGAAAGAAATTAAATCTGAAGGTTGAAATACACATTTGACATTGAAATTAAACGAAGAACATTATTCCGCGACAGCCAACAGCCAACACAGTTAACAAGTAGTCGTAAAGTGATGATCAGTTTCCTAAAAGATCCCGATGATTATGGGGAAA